GCATTGTGCTACATCACGGATTGCGACGTGGTCGTTTTTTTTTGTCTGTTGTTCTTCTCGAGCGCTTGTATGACAAGCACTCGGGGCCAAATGCTAACTTGTGGCTCGCGATTGGAAATTCGATGCAGTATGGACCTGGGCTCATTTCGGTACTCTTCGCCAATTCCCATCTGAGCCCCGAGCAGATTGTTGAGCGAGGCGTGCCGTCGTGGCTTGCGATCGGAAACGCAGTAGCCGATCATCGCGCCGCCCAGGCGGCGGAGCGCGCCCGAGTCCCCGTCCAGGATCTCCAGCGCGCGCGTTTCAGGCTGAGAGGACCGCCTACCTGGTGCGGATGAGGCTGCTCTTAGCCACCCGCGACACGTTGGTTCGCCGAACGGCGTGGTGAGGAGAGCAGGGCCCCCTCCTCCTCCCCCCCCTCCCCCTCCCTCCGCCTCTTCGGTCGCCTCTTTGATTTCGCAGCATCAGTTGAGCGACGATCGCAGACACTGCACTCGGCGCCCAGGGGCCACCACCCAGAAGGAGTCCAGGACCTTATGGGAGTCTCTGTGCTTTGAGCCTCACGCCATAGATAGTAAGTTCGCTTGTGGTCCTTCGGGGGGGCGGCTTCATATCGCTGGGGGGGGGCACATAGCTCGCATCAGATGAGGCTTGAGCGGCCTCTAGGAGTGTGGTTTTGTCTAACATGTGGTTGCTTCGGAGATCGGCAGTTGCGCGGCATGGAAGCTCCATGTGATTTGTATGATAAGCCCCACCGTCGTGAGTACCTCAATCGGTTGACGGTGGGCCTGTGGCCGAACAAGCTTAGCAGGGCTGAGCAGCGTCACCGCGGTCTTTCACTTTCCCCAACGACTACGTCGGATAGCTCGAAAATCGAAGCTCTGCCCCTCCTCGCCCACCATCCCGTGTCCCTCCAGGAAGAGTACGAGGACGAGGAGGGGAAGAGGAGGAGGAGGAGGAGGAGGAGGAGAAAGACGACGAGGAGCAGGAGAAGCAGGAGGAGGAGGAAGGTGGAGGAGGAGGAGAAGGGGGAGGAGGAGGAGGAGGAGGAGGAGGAGGAGGAGGAGGAGGAGGAGGAGGAGGAGGAGGAGGAGGATGAGGAGGAGAAGCACGAGGAGGAGGAGGAGGAGGAGCAGGAAGAGGAACAGGAACAGGAGGAGGAAGAGGAGGAGGAGGAGGAAAATGAAAAGGAGGAGGAGCAGGCGGAAAACAGCCTTAGCAAGCAGCATCAGTAACAAGCTGGCCGATCGGCGACGGGCTGCTCGCGGCCGCCTGCAGCAACCGGAGGTCCGAGCGGCTCGGGGCGTTCGATGCTCGAGGGTCCTCTCCCTCACCTCCCCTCGCCTGTGCGGCCGAGGTGGGAAGGAGGCCCCGCGGGCGAGTTCAACATGACGTCGGAGGAGCACCTGGCCCGCCGCCGCCCTCCTTGTCGCGCGTCCGCGTGGCACCCCCGACGTCCGAGGTGGCCACCATGGGCCCCTTTGTGCTCGCGCGAGCGTGCAGGGAAGAAGGGGGAGGACAACGCGGGGGCCTCGGCCTCGTCCCCACCCCCCCTCTCTCCTGCGCCTCCCCGTCCCCGTTCCTTGTCCTCCTTCTCCTCCTTCCTCCTCCTCCCCCTCCTCCTCCGCCCTCTCCCCTCCTCCTCCTCCTCCTCCTCCTCCTCCTCCTCTCCCTCCTCTTTCTCCTCCTCCTCCTCCTCCTCCTCCTCCCTCCTCCTCGTCATCATCATCATCATCATCATATCATCATCATCATCATCATCATCATCATCATCATCATCATCATCATCATCATTATCATCCTCCTCCTCCTCCTCCCCTCCTCCTCCTCCTCCTCCTCCTCCTCCTCCTCCTCCTCATCGCAGGCAGGCAAGTCGTACCCCACGGCTCCTTCACGGGCGCTTCGACGTTGGCCCCCTTTATGCGGATGTCCTGTCCTGTCCTCCTCCTCCTCCTCCTCCTCTTTCTCTCTCTCTCTCGCGCGCTTTGTTTTCACCCGTCCTTTTTCTGCCTCCCCCTCCTTCGTCCTCCTCGTGCTCCTTCTCCCCTCATCCTTTTGTTCCTCCCATCCGCCCAGCGCCTCCCTCCTCATGTTTGCCAGCGTGGGGCCCAGGCACTATAAGCCAGTGCAGCCCCGCTGCGTGAGATGTGTGATGCAGCCTACATGGTACAGTACAGTCGGGGCCCTGAAGAAGGAACCCTTTTCGTTGGGGAGGGGCTCCGCGTTCCTTAAGTGTTTCACAGCTTGCCTCAGGCTTTCCTTCTGTTTCCGATCGGAAATCGAAGTTTGGCTTACGGAAAAAAGGGGCCTCGTTCCTGATTTAGGGTTCCTTAGGTCAACGCCCCGACTGTACAGTAGACGCATGATGTGCAAGTTGTGGTCTGCAAGTTGTTGTGTGCAATCCGTATGATGCAACATGCGTGGTGCATTACTCGAGCCGTCGGCTTCAACGCTCGAGCAACCATTCTGCCCACCCACCGGCAACTTTTCGTGCGACACTCAAAGGGGTGCAGTGACGTGATGACCCTTCTCATTCATATCCATGACTCGGGCAGGCGGGGGAGGATAGTGACGAAGACGTTGGCAACGGCGACGGTGACGACGCGACGACGACGATGATGATGATGATTATGATGATGGTGATGATGATGATGATGATGATGCTGATGATGATGATGATGCTGCTGATGCTGATGATGCTGATGATGCTGAGGATGACGACGATGAGGATGAGGATGAGGATGAGGATGAGGATGAGGATGAGGATGAGGATGAGGATGAGGATGATGATGATGATGATGATGATGATGATGATGATGATGATGATGATGATGATGATGATGATGATGATGATGATGATGATGATGATGATGATGATGATGATGATGAATGATGGCGGCGATGGCAATGGTGACGCTGGCGATGATGACGATGGTGGTGATGCTGGTGACCAGGAAATGCGCGCGCAGACGCTCTGGCCGACGTCTTTTTGCAGAACGTGTGCTGCACGTTGCTGGAGACACTCCTTTCGATGTACTCTTAAGACCACTGGTTCTGCACTGCTCTCGGCAGGCGTGCGCGCGGAGACGCGCGCGTGTGGCCGTGCGATCCGCACTGTGTTGTTTGACAGGCTTGGCGGGTGCGCGGTGATTGTTGAATGATTTCGAGGAGGAGGAGGAGGAGGAGGAGGAGGAGGAGGAGGAGGAGGAGCCGCGTGTGGCCCGCGCGACCTTAGTCGACACAGCGACCACTCAACTGTGGCTTCCCGTGGCTCGAGCGAGCGCGCGCGAACGGAGATCGGGAGCCTTGTGGCAGAACCGTGTCCTTTTGATGGCCTTTGTCTGAAGCTGGTCTGGAGGCCACGATTTGGGATAGACTTCCGCATGTGCGCGCGCGTGTGGCCCGACGGCGATTCCTTGACCGGGGGCCTCACAATCGCCAGCGTCAGATCAACGCGTGAGCCCGCATGGTATTGTTCGACAGGGCTGGCGGAGGCGCCGATACCGGCCCTTTGCTCAGGCTGTTACGTTACATTCGAAAACAACTGATCGTGCGGAGCAACTCCGAAACGCAATACGGACAGGCGGGCGCGCAAGTCCAGCCTCGGGAGAACTCTCGAGGCGCACGCTCAGTGGCACCAGCTATGTGGTGCAAGCTGTGTGGTGTAAACAAGGTGGTGCAAGCTATGTGGCGCAAGCTATGTCGTGCAAATTATGTGGTGCCAGCTATGGTGTGCCAAGGTGTGTGGTGCAACTTATGTGCTGCAGCCTATATTGAAACTGTGCAAGCAGCCAATTCCCACGCTCAAGCAGTTTGTTGGCATTCTTCAGCTGGCGTAATGACGTGGGGATCCTTCTCGTGCAGATCCGTGACTCGGGCGGGTGAATGATGATTGTGACGACGGCATCGGCGACGGTGCCGATGACGACGAAGGTGGTGGCAGTGAGGACGAGGGCGACGACAACGAGGATGACGATGGCGAGGATGTTGATGATGCTGCTGATAATGATGACGACGACGGTGGTGATGTTGACGACGACGCTTGTTCTGGTCATATAAGTGGTGACGATGATGACGATGGCAATGGTGACGCTGTCAGTGATGATGACTTCGTGATGGTGAGGATTGTGAGGACGTGCGCACGCAACGTGTCTAATGAACGGCACATAAAAACAAGTGTTCGCTCCCATGTGTTGTTGAACACCTCTAATGGTTTCGCCCATCCTTGAATGAGTTCAGAGTTTTGAGTAGCGCTGCTGCCTTCCCTTCCTCCCTGTCGCCTCCCTCCCGCTTTCTCCTGCCGTCTCCTACCTCCTACCTGCATCCTGCTTCCTCGTCCCTGCGGGGGTCCAGCGCAGTGTGATGCTACGCGGATCTGAAGTGACCTCGCCGTTCTCGGGGGGCTGCGAACTGCGAAACTGACGCCGCTTTCGTGGACTCCTGGGGAGTCGAGCGTAGTGCGGCCCTACCCGGATCTGTATTAGACCTCGTCGCCCCTGGCGGTTGCGAACGTCGAATCAATTGCCCCTTTTCATGGGTTCATGGGGAGTCCATCGTAGCGCGGCCCTACGCAGACCTGAATTAGACCTGGCTCAAGCAGCAAGTTTTTTGTAGAGGTTTCTTGTTTCGGCAAAACAAATGAGAAGCCACAGAGCGAGCTTCACAGCCACGCCGTCCGTAACGGTCTGGTCGGCCTTGCCAAACACATGGAAAACAAACTACTCAAACTAGTCCCTCTGGGTCCGCCTTGGGACGACAAGGGGGGCACAACCGCAGGGGGGAGGAGGACGAGGAGGGGCGGAATAGGGAGGAGGAGGCGAAGTGGCAAGGGGCATTTGCCGAAAAGAAGTTCCCGTCGAGGTGTTGCATGCAGTGGGACAGTTCGTCGCCTCAAACTTAGTGCGCGCATACCTTTGCGTCTCCTGGCCTCGAGCAGGACTTGAAAGTATCATATTTGCGCTATCTCCTCCCATCTGGCTGCTGGGACGGAGGCGACCAAGATGGTTTCATTGACCTCACGGACCATTTGTTTTCTTCTGCTACGGGCCCAGGGCATGCCCAACGCAACATCCTTGTCGATGAATGAGACCCACCGCGACCTCCAGTCTTCTGGTTCTCCAGGCGACTCTTGTGTGTCAGATGCTGCGTGTGATTCAGGGCATTGCCTTGGCGGGACTTGCTGTGATCCAGACGCAACAACATGGACAAATTGTGAAGCATGCGGTTTTGACGCAGGCTTCTGTTCTGCGTGTCTCCCTGGATTTTCCTGGGTCAATGGCGCAGGGTGTGTTGCGCCGTGTGGGCACGAGAGTTATGGCTGCAAGATCGACTGCCAGCAAGACGACGGCCCAGCACCTTGCGGCAAGTCGTGCTGCGATCTCTTCCAGGAGGCCTCTGCGGACCTCCACGACAGCAGCGGCAGCAGCCCCGCGGGGGAGCCCGGCTGCGACCTGGTCCTGGAGACCGTGCAGCGCCAGTGCGAGGTGTGCTCCTCGTGCCAGGTCGAGACGGTGGAGGCCGAGGCGAGGCTCCTCCGCCTGCCGCGGGCCGGGTGGCGGTCCACCTCTGGGGGCACAAAAAGTGGCATAAACATAACAACTCGGAGATACGCGCGGATTTCTCGGACCGGCGCTGGGCCCCCTTCCTTGGCGCGCGGAGCGCGCCAGGGGCGGCGCCGGAGGCGCCGCCGGGCGGCCCCAGCGCCGATCCGAGAAATCCGCGCGGACCTCCGAGTTTTTATGTTTATGTCGCTTTTTGATCCCCTGACCTCGGGCGCCGCAGCGGTCGCTCCTGCGGCGCTCGGAATGGCCGCTGTGCTCGGCGGGGCCGCGGTGGCGCTCGGGCGACGGGGCGCGGCCCCAGAGCCGGCCGGCGCCCCCGAGGTCGATGAGGATCGGGGCTCAATCAAGCAGTGGCGAAGCGCCCCGGCGTGCCTATAGCCCCACCAGGCAATGTTCTGAGGACCTTTTGTGGTTCCCACGAAATGTTCTTAGAACAGTTCTGGCTGGGACCGTCTCGTTTTAACACATCGGGGTTGTGCTCTAAGAACATTGTTTTGTCCTTAGAACATTTTTGGGTTCTAAGAGCATGTCGTGGTATGACTACAGGACTGCCGGGTCGGTCGGCCCCTGCTCAAGCTCACGGGGCGCGGGTCAGTGCAGACGGGAGCCAGTCAGCGCGCCGCGTCCAGCAGCATCCTGCAGAGCCAAGAGGTTCGTTGACCCGGGCTCGGGCGCAGGATCCCGCAGGATTCAGCCACGCGCTGAGGGGGGTGGGGGGGGGGGGGGGGGCTTCTTAGAAGCACCCCTGCCTCTTAGAAGGCGCGGGCCTTATCTATAGATGCAAGGCCGGCGCCTTCGAAGAAGCAGCCTGCTTCTAAGAAGCCCCCCCCCCCCCCCCCCCCACCCCCCTTGTGCGCGCCGCCAGAGGATCCTGCGCGGCCCGGCTGACCCAAGTCTGGAGTGACCCGGGCCGGTGGATCCCCGAGAGGAGGTCGTCCCGATCAGAGCTCCGCGGGCGCCGCTCGCGGCGGGCGCGCAGGGCCCCGCGGCCACGCACGGCGCAGGGCAGCGTTTGTGGGCAGCCGGCTCTCTTGGATGTCTCCGCCTGTCCTACAGTCGGGGCCTTGACCTAAGGAGCCCTCAATAAGGAACGAGGCCCCTTTTTTCCATAAGTTGAACTTCGATTTCCCATCGAAAGAAAACATAAGGAAAGCCTGAGGCAAGCTGTGAAACAATCAAGGAACGCGGAGCCCCTCCCCAACCAAAAGGGTTCCTTCTTCAGGGCCCCGACTGTAGGCGCTGCCTTCATACTTGACGTTGAGGGGACTTGAGCCCCAGGGTTGTAGCGTCTGTGAGAGAAGAATCGCGTGGGAAAGCTGGCTCAGGTCGGAAGGCCTGCACGTGAAGTCGGGCGGGCACAGCAGAGAAGTGTGGGCATGAGAGTCGCGCGTCCTTCCTCCTCATCCTCCGCAAGTGTTCGAGGCAAGACTGTGCTAGGGCTGCCGTTACAGATGCGGACGCCGTCGATGCAGTCGAGCTGCACGGCAGCAGTCTCCGCCTTTCCCCCCCCCCCCCCTTCCTTCTCCCCATATCCTGAGTGCTCCGCTTGTTTTCCCATACCATCCTCTACTCCTTTTCCTCCTCCCTCCCCTCTTCCGTATCCCCTCTTCCCCTGTTCATCCTCCCCTCCTCCTTCTTGCCGCCCGAGTGGTTCCTCCTGCATGCACACGTTCATTTCGCCTGTTTCACTCCACCAGCCTCGCCAGTGCCATTCGGCCGTCCGCAGGGGCCCCGCCAGACGCCAGACCGCGGCAGACGTCGCGGCACCGCGAGTGCGGAAATGGACGAAGTTCGGGATCGGGGGGAAGAGAGTGCGGAGATGAATCTGGGGATACGTGCGGAAATGTTAGAAGAGCCAGCAGAAAAAAGAGAGGGACGATGCGTGGGATGAGGGATGCATCGGAGGAACGAGGAGGGGGAGACGAGGGAGGAGGACCGTGACACGTGTGAGAGGTGAAGCAAGCGAGGAGAAGGAAGAGGAGAGATGACTAGGGGAGGGAGGAGAAGGGATGACGACAGATTCGGCATGCGAATGAGGAGTGAGTGCAGGAGTGGAGGAGTCCACATCCTGAGTGGGGTTCAAAATTTCCCAGACCATCCTCTCCTCCTCTTCCGCAGCCCCTTTTCCTTTAGTTCATTCTCCCCTCGTGTTTTCCCTTGTATGATTCCTTCTGCATGAACCTTCTCACTCCGCCAGCCCCACAAGGTTTGTGCCCTTCCCACTGCACCAGCCCCGCCAGTGTCTCCTGAGGCTTCCTGCATGCACATTCTCACCCCGCCTTTCCACTCCACTGGCCCCACCAGTACCGCCAGAGGCCTCCTACATGCAGCATGCAACTTCTCCGACTCTTAAAACACTTCGGTGGGGAACTCCAATACCACAATGTAAAGAACTATTATGATCATCGCGTCAGTCGTTGTCGACGTCGCCATGGTGCGGCGCCATTCCGAGTCACCGACTGGCGCCGAAGTGCATGAGCGTCAGCGCGGCTTGGGAAAATCGCTGGGGAGTCCGCAGTGGTCAGCGCCATCGCGGCCGCGTCGCCTCCTCCTCCTCCTCCTCCTCCTCCTCCTCCTATTCCTATTCCTCCTCCTCCTCCTCCTCCTCCTCCTCCTCCTGCTCTCCTCTCCTCCTCCTCCTCCTCCTCCTCCTCCTCCTCCTCCTCCTCCTCCTCCTCCCTCTCCCCTCTCCCTCTCCCCTGCCCTGCCTCGCTCCCCACGGCACCCTCCTCCCGCCTGCCCCCCGCGCGCAGGGCCCTCTGGGCCCGAGGCCCGCCCACGCCTCCTGCCGCCGCACGCCGATGGCGCCCGCCGCCGCCGCCGCGCTGCTCGGCCCCCCGTCCTGCGCGCTGGCCGTCGCCCTGCTCGCCGCGGCCATCCTCGCCTCGCTCGCGCTGGCCTCGGCGGGGGGGCGGCCCGCGCGGAGGCGCGAGGCGCCCCCCCCCCCCGCGCGCCCGCCGCCCCGCCGCCCCGCCCGCCGGCGGGGGGGGAGAGGGGGAGGCTCGGCGCGGTCGATCCGCTTCGGCAGCGATCTCGGCCCGGCCCGGTCCGAGTCGACCTTTTCTCGGGGGCGCACAAGAGGGGGTGATGACCAGGGGGGGGGATATCAGGGCGTGGGCCATGCTGTTTCCCCAGATTTTGTGGCGCCTCTTCTTGTTTCATCAAGTCCCTGGCCCCCCCGCTGGGCCGCGCACGTGCCGCCAGTCATGATTTGCCCCCCCCCTCTTGGACACCCCCCTCTTGGCCGCTCCCGAGACAGCCAGCCACGCGCAGAGAGTCTTTGTGTCCCCACGTGGTATTTGTCCCCTCGTCCTGCCCCTCCTCCTCCTCCTCCTCCTCCTCCTCCTCCTCCTCCTCCTCCTCCTCCTCCTCCTCCTCCTCCTCCCCCCGATTCTCGGTGTTCGGGCGGTGCGGTGCGGCCCAGTGTTCGCCTGGCACTGGGGTGTGCTTCCTGGCGCGGCCGATCCGGTTTTCGGTGTCGCTCCGTGCCGGTGCGGCGCGCTCTGATTCAGAAGGGAAAAAACACACAGACACAATTAATCGTCGACCCCTACGAAAATAGGGGAAACTATGGGAAGTGGGGGGAAGACAAAGCTCAACAAATATGGGAAAATATGGGGAATCCTTTCATTTGTGTGTATTTCTTTGTGTGTCCCAGGGCCCCTTCACTGATGCACGTGACAATCCTAGCACTGAGTGTCCGATTCGATGCTGGCGGGTCCTGCCCCAGAAGGGTTCTAGAGACTGGTTGTGAGCAGAGTCCGCTCGGGGCTTCTGCAACGGGGGCGGCCTTCTGCGGGGCTGACAGGGGGCTGTGTAGACGCTCTGATGTGAACCTTCCGATCCCTCTGAGAAGCCCCCCTGCTTTTTCCTAGCGGGCGAACGTTGGTATAAAGCGCATGTTTCCACCATCTGGAAGCTTGTCCCAGGGCGGCTGGGAAGTTGATACGCCGACGGCGGCACGTTCGGGTATCCACTGTCCAGCCGCCTGGCAGGCGTCCCCGATGCCCGGGCAGCTTATGCGTGTACCCTCCGACGAAGGCATCTATACACCACCACCGTGCCAGGCCAGGGCCATCCCCGTGCCCCAGGATGGTGTATAGACCCTCTTGGCCTCGGCCAGGAGGGCGTATACACCGTCCTGGGGCCCGGGGTGGCCCTGCCTTGGCACGGTGGTGGTGTATCGATGCCCTCTGCGAGTGCCCTTCTTCGCTTGCTGATCCTCCGGTGGTCACCCCGCCCCCCCTCCCTCCGCCCAGCCCTTGGCTCCGCGCCGCCAGGCGGAGGAGGACGGCGGGGCGAAGAGGCGGCCGGCAGGCGCCCAGCCCGCGGCGCGCGCGGCGGGGCGCCCGAGGGCGCGGCTGCCGAGGCCGCGGCGCCACTTCGTGGCGGGCCTCCGCTCAGCGCCGGACGACGACGACGCCCAGCCCGCGTGCCCGTACGAGCTGGACGTCACCGCCCACCAAACCACTCCAACCCAACCCGAGGGCCCCGATTTGCCCTCCATTTCCAGTGGAGGGGGTCGGGGGACGTTGAGAAAGCACATAGGGAGCCCGTACCCCCCCCAACCCGAAAGTCGGGTCTTCGGGTTGGGTTGGGGTGGTTTGGTAGGTAGTCAGGACGACAGCTCGTGGCTCGACCCCGGCCCGGAGGTGTTCGAGCTGCCGGACGAGCGGTGGGTGTCGGTGGTCGCCGCGCAGGGGTCGGCCAGCCGTTGAGGCCTCGGGCCCGCAGGCGGCCGCAGGGGCCGGAGGTGCTCGAGAGTCGTCGGCGGCGGTGGCCGCTGCGCAGGAGGCAGAGAGGCTCTTGAGGGCGCCACGGCGGCTGGCTGCCGGTGCGGCCTCTGGCCGTGGGGGGCGAGGGGGGCAGGGAGGAGGGGGGGGGGGCACTCCGCCCAGGTGTGGGTGGTCGTCGCCTGCGGGGGGGCAGGGAGGAACGCTAATTAGGGGGCCACATGCGAACCCTACCCCATACCCCCCACGATTTCTGAGGGGGAGGGTGGGGGGTAGGGGTAGGGTTCGCATGTTTCCCCCTAAACGCCCCAGCAGCGGGCTGGTGGGCCTGGGGAGAAGGACGTGGAGGACCAGAGCAAGCCAAAGTTTCACCAGCGACGCTGCCGTACGCCCTCCCGTCCCAAGTCCCTTCCCAATACACCCATAGACGTCTTCTTCTTCTTCACCACAAGAAGCGCCCCCCTCCCTCCCTCCTCGTCGTCGTCGTCGTCCGTCGTCGGCGTCTCGTCGTCGTCCCTCCTATTTCGTCGCCGTCGTCGTCGTCGCCGTCGTCGTCGTTGTCGTCGTCGTCTTCCCTCCTCCCTCGTCGTTGTCGTCGTCGGCGTCGCCGTCCTTCCTCCTTCTTCGTCGTTCACGTCGTCGCCGTCCTCCCTCCTCCCTCGTCGTTGTCGTCGTTGTCGTCGTTGTCGCCGTCGTCGTCCGTCCTCCTCCCTCGTCGTCGCCTTCGATGGCGTCGTCTTCGTCGTCGTCGGCGTCGGCGTCGTTGTCGTCGTCGAAGTCGTCGGAGACGTCGTCGGTGTCGTCGTAGTCGTTGTCGTCGGTGTCGTCGTAGTCGGTCTTAAGATGTTTTGCAAACCAAGTTGCGGGTGGGTGGGTGGGATATTTGCGCGAGCAGTGGAGATGGCGACTTCAAGTTCAGCAGAGTGGCCAATACACCCATAGACGTCTTCTTCTTCACCACAAGAAGCGCCCCCCTTGACAGACCAGGACAGTTGGGCTTGCCAGTTCGGCGAGGGTCCTCTTTGAAAAGGAACAGCCTTGCATCTTCCTGGCGCGCAGTCAGGAACGCGAAGCACAACGATCACACAATGCAACGGCGCGTCCAGCGATAATCCCCCTTTCGAAGAAGGGCTGCCCCCCATCCGTGCAACCGCTGCACGTCATTGTGACAAGGCACAGTCCTCCATCATGCTGAGCGTTGCGCCGAGAAGCGAATGCGCGCGGCGCGGAGGCGAGAGTCCCGTTCCGAAGAGGAGGGCGCCCTCCGTCCGTGAGGCCAGTGCACACCTTCACGTTGAGTGTGCCCGGCGTTAACGCGAGAGCACCATTTTGAAACGACAGGTTGCAACGTTTGAAGGTGAATGTGCGCGGCGCTGAGGCACGATCCCATTTCGAAAATGACTCTCTCCATCCGTGAAGCTGCTGCTATCTTTGAAACGAACGTGCTCGGCGCTAAAACGAGATCCACATGTTGAAAACGACTTGTCCTTCATCCGCGAAGCTCTGTCAACTTCTTAAGGCGAATGTGCGCGGCGCCACGGCGATAACCACGTTTTGAAAACCGTTGCCCCCCACAGATGAAACGAGTACAAGCTTCAATCTCCTGGATCCGTAATGGTGAGGAAGTTTGAGGCGAAACGCCTGGCCCACCCAACTGACACGCCTGGGGGCGCGACAGAAAGGAGTTATGTAGAACGAGCAGGCGTGGAGGAGGAGAAAAGGAGGAGGAGGAGGAGGAGGAGGAGGAGGCGAGGATATTGAGGAGGGGGAGGAGAGAGGAGGAGGAGAGGAGGAGGAGGAGGAGAGGAGGAGGAGGAAGAGGAAGAGGAGACGGGGTGGGCATTGCACCAGAGAGCCCAGGGCCGTCGTCCAGGAGGCAGGGCGGGACGCCGCGGCGGCCAGATGGTGAGGCACTGGGCCTGGGGGGGGGTCTGGCAGCGCGCACTGGGTGCCTGGCGAGAGGAGCGGCCCTCTCAGAAGGCGGGGGGCACATGGAGGAGGAGGAGGAGAGGAGGAGGAGGAGGAGGAGGAGAGGAGGAGGAGGGGGAGGAGGGAGGAGGAGGAGGCGAGAGGAGCGGCCCTCTCAGAGGGGCCCGCCCCCCCAGAACCCCGACACCCTCACGTCGTGCGCAGGGTCCCACGACGGCAGGCTCTCGGCAGGTGTCGGCCCTCGGGGGCCCATAAACCGGGCCCCGGCGCCCGGGAGCAGCCGCTCGGAACGGAACGCCGGGCCCGGGACGAGGCCCGGCTCTCCGGCAAGCCACGCTGTGACAAGCGCACGGCGTCGGAGGTCTGAGAAAGGACTGTTCGGCACGGCCTCTGACGCTGCCCCCATTTGCGTGCCGTCAGGAGGCGGAGGGGGTGGAGGAGGAGGAGGAGGAGGAGGAGGAGGAGGAGGAGGAGGAGGAGGAGGAGGAGGAGGAGAGGAGAGGAGGAGGAGGAGGAGGAGGAGAGGAGGAGGAGGAGGAGGAGGAGAGGAGGAGGAGAAAGGAGGAGGAGGAGGAGGAGGAGGAGGAGGAGGAGGTGGAGGAGGAGGAGGAGGAGGAGGAGGAGGAGAGAGGAGGAGGAGGAGGAAGGAGAAAAGGAGGAGGAGGAGGAGGAGGTAGGAGGAGGAGGAGGGCTTCAGGCGTTGGAAGAATTGCGTCGAGCAGCCGCAAGAAGCAGAGCTCGCCTCGAGTGGCCACGGGTCCCGCGACGTAGGCTGCCAGTCATATGTGCCAGGTCGTGCATAAGTTTACGACGCACTTTTTCCTCCGTTATTTTTTCCGGCCGGTCAGCATCAAGGGTTCGCAGGAAGTGCCAGTCCGAGCACAGTGTGGACGTGCTTCCAATATCACCGATAGCACTGGTAGAGGCGGGAGTGGAGCGGAAGAGAGGAGGAAGAAGGGGGGGAGAGGGGAGTGGCTGCGTCGTCGGTGCGGGCTGCATGGAGTCGCCCATTTTATCAAGCTCAAGCCCCCCTGCAGCCAACGGCTGGAAGGAAATGGGGCAGCACATCATTTTAGACGTTTGATTTCACGTGCGGGATGCTCCTTCGGGATTTTTCGTCGTGGCTAGAGCATGGGGAGGTTCCAGGCTCGGTGCCGCAAGGGTGGTAGCCCTTTGTCCAGAGGTGCCCAATTAGATTGAGCCCTTCAGTTTGGCCAATGCAACAAAGATGGGAATTATGGGAACGACTAGTTTGATGATGATGATGATGATGATGATGATGATGATGATGATGATGATGATGATGATGATGGCGGTGGTGGTGGTGGTGGCGGTGGAGGTGGTGCTGATGACGATACTGGTGATGGTGATGCTGTTGATGATGTTGATGATGATGACGCTGATGCTGATGCTGCTGATGATGGTAGTGATGATGCTGATGATGGTGATGATGATGAGAATGATGATGATGATACTGATGATGCTGATGGTGATGATCATGATGCTTGCGATGGTGACGATGATGACGATGATGAGGATGACGGTAAGGATGGTTACGATAATTATGGTGAGGATGTTGATGATCTGATACTTTGATGATATCGCCAGTGACACAGAGCTAGATGTTATTACCAATGATGGAGGGAAGGAGGGTGAGGAGCAGCAGAGGGAGCGGGAGGCGGAATGATGAGGAAAGGGAGCGAGGAGGGGGGCCAGCAGGAGGGGCAGTAGCAGGAAACAACAGGAAGACAACGCCCTGCGCCGTTTCGGGGGCGTCTTCGAGGCGAGAGCGGCGGCAGACGGGGTCGCGAGGGGCAGGAGAAACGTCGCCCCCCCCCCAGCCAAAGGAGGGAACATGGAGGAGATGTAGGCAGGCAACGTCGCTGGAGGTGAAATGGAGGAGGTAAACATGGAGGTGAAAATGAGGCAAATGGAAGCAAAGGAAGGAGGTCAAAATGGAGGTGGGTGGAATGGAGGCACATGAAGGAGGTAGAGTGGAGGGCGGCAAAGGGAAAGGCGGGCGCTTCCACAGGCAAGCGGCCCGATGTGAGGCAGGCGGCGTCGCCCGCAAGGGGAAATCGGAGCGGTCGACACGCGGAGCCACATTCGTGCTCCGGTGGCCGTTCCCGTGCTGATTTTGTCCCTACCCTCACCCCTCTCCTCCTCCTCTCCTCTCCTCCTCCTCCTCCTCCTCCTCCTCCTCCTCCTCCTCCTCCTGCTCCTCCTCCTGCTGCTACCTCCTCCTCTTCCCTCCTCTTCCCTCCTCCCTGCCCCCCCCCCTCCTCCCTCCTTCCCCATGCCAACCTCCTTCCTCTTCGCTTTCCTCGCTCTCCTTCTCCTGCTCCTCGACCCCCTCCGCGTTCCCTTTCTCCCCGTCCCCGTCCCCTCCCCCTCGGCGGAGGGCCCGCCCGAGGACTGCTACGAGTTCCTCCTCACCGCCAACGGGGCCGACCAGAGCCAGCCCTTTCACGAGCCTGCAATCATGCAGAGGTCTGGGGGCTAGCAACGCTGGGAGAGAGGAGGGCGGCATCCGCCTCTCTATCGGAGGAGGAGGAGGAGGAGGAGGAAAGATGAGGACGATCGGGCGCAGGGGAGGAGGAGTGTCGTTGGCTTCGCGCCCTCCGCCCCTCTATTGAGCCTCTCTCTATCTGTACTGATGCGTGCCTGTGCACGCGTTTGGCTCAAGACAATTGGGCGGACATGACGCAGCTGGCGTCTTAGCTGGGGTGTGCTCGCCTCTCTCTCTCTCTCTCCCTCTCTATTTGCGCGCGTCTATCACTTTCCACTCTCACATCTAATGGAGCATTGCAGTTATGTTGGACGACATCGTGAATGGCCCGTCCATCCACACGATGCATACGAAGGGATCCCCAGGATTAGGAGATCGGAGCTCGGACGACGCTCATTCGTCAAGGGATGTCGATTTCCTGGCAACAGACATGCTCTCAGCGAGCGTCTGACGGATACGAATCGTGATGCAATTAGTCATGGTGATCAGCACAGGAGCCGCAACTCGAATAATCTGAGCAACTGTAGTGAGAGTGCGAATTTCGACG